CTACTGTGAACCTGCATTAAGATTCATAAAAGATATAAAGACACACTGAAACTCACCCATAAGAATTAACCCAACTAAGAAGCTGCACAAGCTCATTTTTTTCCAATTTGTCTGAGGCGATTTCACGAAGCTGAAAATAAAGAAAACAAATTTTTTTGATTTAGCTTCAACCCTTTTCTTTTAACCAAGTCAATACTTCTCCCATATTTTTCGTTTTTGATAATAATACAAAATAAAAAATATTAACTGGATAAGGCAGAAATAAGACAACTGAGATCCAGAGGATAAAAAGATCGACGAAGGACAGTATCGAATACAAAAAAAAAACGAACACGTCCCGATAAGAGATTATGATACATAGCTACAAAACGATCATATATTCCGTAGGATGGCGGAAAACATGGCGAGGCTGCACTTTTCGCTACCATTAAATCATCCACTAGTACGAGACGACAAACTTCCAAATATCTGAAAGTATGATTTTATAAATAAAACGATTATCTTATACGCCTAAAACACTACAGAACTATAACGTCTAAGAGGCCAGAATCAAAAAAGAAGATTAAATTGTGCGATGTGGGATAATAAAAGAATAAAATGATTTGGCATTTGAAAGCTAACAATATAATGGTTAAAACTTGGAATAGCATAACTTCTCATTAATCAAACAGAAAATGCCAAGTGTTACTCACTCCTCACTCCCGGGTAAATTTTGGTTTTAAAAAAGAAACAAAATTACCTAGCAAGCCACTGTTTGTTAAGCGATCGGTCTTCCAATTGATTACCTTCGATTCGTTGCTTCACTGTGCTAGCAATTACTTCCAGACATTTCTGACGCCATTTACGGGGTCTACCAGGTGGCATAAAGTCATTGGTAGATGACTGCCGATCAATGTAGTATTGATCGATCCTAAAATCAGTTTAAAGATAAAATAATGCAAACCAATGATAACGTAATCAACAAAAATAAATAACTTACACTAGAAATCATTACTATGACTAACAACGATGCATTAAGCAAATGAAACTGTGAGCTTATTTCGCAAAGTCGAAGATTGGTTATATAATCACTATCAACAACAGATATACTCCAGCTGAATGAACCTGTTGAAAACAATTAAATTCAAATAAAAATTTAAGTTAAAAATAGATGTAAATGTTTACAAATACCTCTCTTCACGTTCAATAATGCGAAGGGCAGTAACTAATTGCATCGGGCCCTGTTCAGCACCACGTACTGCTTCTAGGCAACGAGAACAGATGTACCACAACTGTTTCGCAAGTTCCTGGATAACTTTGTCAAGATCCGAAAAATACGTCTTCAGCAACTGAAAAAGGCTAGCCTTTTCTTCTTTCTCCTCCCAACAGTTTTTGGAAAGACAAATATAAATTTCAAACAGATAGAGATATACATTCCAGACTTTCCTTATCATAAGTAAAAAGAAACTCTTTCCTCTTTTAAAGTCCTTCAATTAAACTATAACCGATGTTTTTCATACCACATTTGGAGAATAAAGGCAATAGAGGCAAGTTCCCATAATCGCAAATAAGAACTCTCAGAGTAAAAACATGCATTTTTCTCGTAGTTAACAGTGCTTTGTTGCAACTTATGCACTTCGTACATCAGATCATCACGGGCGTGCTCCATTTCCATGATGCTGTAAAAAAAAAAAAGAAAAAAAATGTTACAATCTTTGTTTTCGACCATGCTGCTGAATAATAACCTAACTGCATTAATGAGAAAATGAAAAAAATGAAAATTAAAGGTAAAAGTACACGACAAACTCACTATATATATATATATATATATGTATATATGTATAAACTCTAATAAGGAACTTTACCGCCTATGTTAAATATATCAGCTAGTCTTGAAAAGTGAAGGGGAACGCATTTGATTAATGTACTAACTTTTTATGCGCTAGAAGCAGTTTTCCATCTTGAACATACTCTCGCGTTTTCTCGATTGTTTCATTAATTTCGTAAATATGCTGTAAATGTCCTATTGCTGTTGCATACTGGCTATTTTTAATGTTTGCTTCTCGTAATTTTGCCATTTTCTGCTTCAACTTAGGAAATGCCAGCAATGTTGTGTAAATTTCCTGCAAACTATAAACACGAAAGAAGTTTTGACAGAAATGCATGAGTAGAATAGAGACTAAAATAAAATCAAACTGAAAAAATAATACGGAATTCAAACATAACAGCTTTTCTTGCATATATATATGTCTTCTTTTTCAAGCTAACATTACTTAGCTGATTGCCACAGTATGATACCAACATTAGGACTAGTATGCATTCTACAACACAATATTTCAAGTTATAAATAAGTTAATAAACAAGTTAATTTCAAGTTGTAAACAAATTTATAAACAAGTATATCAATTAAGCGCTCAATCGAAGCAATAAAAATCAAATAATGCAGTTTCAACTTAAAAAAAAAATCGCGGAACTCAATATGGCATGAGAAATTTAAGAAAGGTGACTAATCTTAAACAGCAACAAACATACGAGAAGATTATCGCTCACTTTTAATACTGAAGTTCCTTTTTCCCCGAAATGTAACCTAACACTTCACAGTAGAAATTGTTGAAAGCTGAAGCAACTGCTAATGTTCTGAATATTCTTTACCTTGTTTCAACTTCTTTGATATCTTCAACAGTTGTAGATAAATGCCCAATAGCTGTTCGTATGCCTTCTAGCTGAGACTGTACGCCGGTTCGAAGCATTGCTTCTACAGCAGTCTGAAACACCATCCATTTCAATTTCTTTCCTTTCCCTTTTTATCAATCTAACTGCTAATAAAAGGAATGATGACTGTTCCAAGTTATGAAAAAGTTCCTCCTGAAAAAGAAAGTGAAAAGACGAATCGCCCACAGAACGCTCATAGAGAGCTCTTTCTATCACTGCTTAAAGTTCCCATTATTCTACGTTTTAATACAGTTAAATCTGCAATGAGAAGAGAGAACAATACAGAAGGATAACTAATTTTTCGGCGTGCACTGATAATTACCCCTTTAATAAGCAGTGGTTCCACGAATCGAAAATGTCTAATCTTATTTTACAAGTAGAATGAACAATTCCATTTGGTGCCAAAATTTGTTCAATTCGAAAACAAAGACAGCAAAGTCAGTGAGAATTACCTTTTTTCTATCAGCTCTTTTTTTAAATGTGTCCAGTTTTTCCAGCTGATCTGGCCTTTGGAACATTTGCGCAACCTGCACCAATGCTGCTGCATGTGCTTCTTTTTCGATTGCATCTACATCCATATTACATTTATTTTTCTGAAAACAAATTAAATTTTGCAAAACTTTAAAAAATTTCGCAGAAAATGCTGTTTAATTATTTCCCTTTATTTCTTTTTTTTCTTCCCCTTATTCCTCTTTATTTTTCTCTTTTCCTTTTTTTTTCGACCCTTTGATGGACTTATCTCAAGTGTGAAATGAAACGGAACAGGACGAGATGAAGAGATAATTAATTAGTTACTCAACATGCAATAATAATTACCAAATTCGTCTCAATCGATTCACCCCGAAATCCTTTTTATATTATAAAAACCTCTAATTCAACTGTTAATCAATTAGTTCAACTGGAACTCCGATAATTAGACACTTTAAACTGTGCATCTCTCTCATTCTTCCTGCTTTTTCTCATTATCTTTTACAATTCCTCCCAATCTTTGTCATATTCACAGAACTATGATCTTCTCATCTCGTTTTCTATCTTCGTCATCAAAAGTTAAGTGCACAAGTAAGTTATTAGCAGATTTTTTCAATCCTCAATTAAATATAATTATCTAATACATCTGAATGTACATATAGATAAATACATTTTCTTTATTTTATTAAAGCATAGTTGAAAATAAAAATAAAATTTTAAATAAAAATAAATAATAAAAATTGAAAATAAAATGTTGGATTTTTATGGAAACCTTTTTTTAAACTTATCGATTATATTCAAGACATTAGACAATTATTAATTTGAACTCTAAAGAAACAACATACAGATAGTTGTACTAATTAATACAACTATGGCAATTTATACTAACTTAATATGTTTGAAGAAGAAAATCAATTGTAGTACGAACTAAATTCCAATATTGAGGAGCAATTTCAGTTACAAATTACAAAATTTGATTGAAACTTGCAATTTAGCATGTTCAAGAAATCAATTATGGTATTAATTAATACGGTATTGTGCTTCCTACTAATCATTAACTTCTCACGCACGTGACAAACTACACGTTGACCATTTCATTGACCTGATTATCCGTATCACTTAAACTATTCTACGTCTAACAAATACGTTTTTAAGTACATCATTTCACATTTCATATCTTTCTTCATTTTCTCTCAAAATAGTACACTCTATAAAAAGTTTTAACAATCCTAAGCTCTCCTTATTTCCATTCTATTTCCTATCTCTCCTATTGCAAAACAGTTGTCTTAGACCATTACCATTTGAATTTTTTGTTATTTTTGAGTGAGGAATTACGAGTGGATTAGTGATTATTTCAAATTATGACACCACTATTTATTATTCAAAATTGGAATTTAAAATGAAGAATTCGAATTTGATGTATTCCATTTCCTATTTAATTGCCTGCTATTTGAATTCGTTATTTGCTAGGATTTCATTATCATATGAAATTTGAGTATTTGAATGTTTGAGTACTTATTATTTTGAGGATGAAAACTGAATTTGTGAAATTTCATTTGATATGTTTCACATTTTACTCCATTTCTTGTAAATATTTATACATTTTAATATGTTAATTGCAATTGTTAATTGCAATTGTTATTACTGTTAGTATTTAATTAATATTTCATTTTTACACCATGTTTTTTTTCCTTTTTTTTCTACTCTTTGATAGAATAAAGTCTGAAATGAGAAATGGAACGAGGCAAAAAGGTATTTAATTAATTATTCAACGTACAACAATAGTTACAATAATAATCTAGATTTTATAAATCTTTTTGAAAATTTGGAAGTAGATTTTTTTTTAGGATGAAAAAGAAGAAAAAGAAAACACGTGTGGAAAATAAGTCGGAATGGTCGCTAAGGAAACGACAGGGTTTCCGACTTTTGGATCCGGTTGACTATCAATTACCTACCTGCTCTCATGGTTTTCTTCTAAGTTTCATTTTCTCTCTTTTAACTTCTAAGCGAGTAAAATAACGACTAAAAAGTAATTTACTTGTTTGTAATCTAATTTATTTGACAGATATGCAAATAAATTGTTTTACTGCTTTCTGAAATTACTTGATGTATACTTTTATAATGGTTGCACATTAAATGTTACACGTGGATGTCACATGTGTTACATATGATAGAAAATGTTTCGTAGTACCAAAAAATTCTCAAATTTTATGAATTATTTATCAGGCAGTTGTTTGTTTATTTTTTTTATGCGACCTTCCTAATTTAATTAAGAGTGTTCCAAATTGAAGTATAATTTCAAAACACTTTGTCATTCACGTTATTTCAGGACCTTGTTTGTTGTTCGAACGCAAAACCGGGCACACAACAGAAAAATTTTTTGCCTGTGCCGTTTATCGATCTAAAAAACGTTGTTCATTTCGGTTGAATATAAGTTACAAAACTCTTCCAAGTAATTTGCTCAGTAATTCCGACAATTTGAATGTTGCTACAACATCGTTCAATTACGCTACTATACGAAAAAAGTGAAGTTTCATTTGAAAATACTTTTTTTGCCGTTGAATTTTTATTGAAAATTACCGCATTTGTGGTTTTTTTTTCACGCGACCCAAAAAGATTTGAGGCTTTCTCAAATTAAAATTTGTCAATTGATGCATTTTGATACATCATTAATGACTGATGCATTTTTATTAGTTTTCAGAGTGAATTTATTGAGAGCAGAAGATGAGAAAATTTATTACTGCATAACTTGCAATGATGTGTTTTCATTGCCACATATTCATCCGATGAAAGGACCACTTGGAATCCCTTCTTTGAGAAGGCCATCACAGTTGTTTTCCGCGCATATGCAAAATGATTCTGAAAGCGTAAGCATACTTCTGGCTTTATTTTTGGCTGAATCAAATTTGTAGGTCTTTTTTTTTCGTTTGTATTAGTGTTTATTGTTATCGTATTCCACAGCATCATCGATTATTCCAAGTCTAATGAAAGTCATAGTTATAAATAATGGGTGACATTACTTACTGCTGTTAGCGTCCAATCTATATTCTAATATGCTGTCGTAATATATCTCTTATGCGTAGAAAGGGATAGGTCGTTCAGTCGATAAATGTTAAAAATGGAATCCATAATTTAAGTGGATGAAAAAATAATTGTTAGAAATCTTTTTACAGCAATATTGGTTCACGGAGGAATCTTTGGCAGTAATAGTAAATGCTATTGAAAAATCCGGTTGTGATGGAGTATTGTGCATCGGAACACCAACAGTATTCGAATATTTTCAAAGTGACAAATTGCTTCGATGGAAAATAAAATCATTTTTATTGGACATCGATGCTCGATTTGTGAGATTTTTCACCAAAACCTCTTTTCCCTTAAAGCCTGTAAATTCCTTATTTATGCCAATGCTTCACTGATGTTATGGGAGCTTTTGGAAGAAAGAATGCTTTTTTGAAATCAGGATTCGTCGTATCGCCGCAGGTTTTTAACAAAATTGAAATCTGAATCACTTTTCATAAGTGTTATAACAAGAATTAATCCGAAAAAAATTTCACAAAACCATATTGTTTTTGTTTTTAAGCTTTTGTTACTTTTAATGTTTACAAATTTGTTGTGGTGACAAAGAATCGTAGTTGACGTATAGTGGCTTTTTCTAATAAAGAAAAGTTTTTTAGGTGCCATTTTTGCGATCCAGTCATTTTGCAGTATACAGCATGCTGACAAATCACTTTTATGACCCAGTGAGTATCCGAAAACTTATTACATTCTTTGGATCTATCCATCGTTTAGTGATAGTTTGCGATCCTCCTTTCGGTGTTTTCATCGAAGCTTTGACCAATTCAATAAAGAAGCTTCGAGAGCAGTTCTTCACATCCAGCATTGGCAGATTGAAGTAAGCTTTAAAAAATAAAGAAAAGATGAGTAGTTTTATTTTTTTCAGTCGGTACTTTTACTTTTAATTTCTACATTTCAGTGATAACTGGTGCAAGAATATCATCATCCTTCCAATTTTCACTGGAAAACGCTTTCTAAACTGCAACGATTTCCATATGTTAGATTACAGAGTTAGTTATCCTTCATTATTTCGTGAATCGAACATTATTGGTATTCGAACATCACGAATTGCTTTGACAAAAAATAAAATCCTTGAATCAGGAATTTGAGTGTTTATATGTTTCATATGTTCCATGTTTTCTTAACACATCAACTATCTTCTAATGAAAACTAATATAGTTGAAAGTATTAGGGCTGATGTAGTTGAAGATATTGGAGATATTATTTCATTTTTTATTCCTTCATAACCCGCAAAAGTCTTACTTTGTTCTCATAATGATGATTAAGACACCAGAATGACATTGTAGAAAAAGTTCTCATAATCTCGTAAGTTGAATTAATCCCAATTTTTGAGACCGATGTCTTGATCTTAAAAAAAACTTCTTCCAGATTTGCTATAGAAATCATTCGAAATATAAACGACCAGAAAAGTCTATCGTTCGTATATTTACTGATCTTCCGCTGAATGAATTTGACTTCTCAAAACTTCCTGATTACAGGTCAGTGTTGGTTCTAATTTTTTGAGTATTTTCTGCTCACTTGCTTCTCGAAAGTTTTTTTTCTTTTATGCAAAAAATATAAATTTTTTATTTGGATAAGTACGATTTAATTTCTTAACTGAAATGTTTGTTAGAATTTCAGATTTTGTGATAAATGTAAGAAGTTTGTCGTAAAAACCACTCTTCACTGCAATTTTTGCGAAACTTGTCCTTCCGAAGTAATCTATTTTTTATTTACTTTAAAATTTATGAGTGTCAAATTTCTAATAGCATAATGTGTAGAAAAAATTGATCTCTTTCAATATAATCTACACTCACTCTTTCTTTCATTGTTATTTATAGGCCAACACTTGTAAGCACTGTAGTAGATGTGATCGATGTGTCAAAAGCACATACAAGCACTGTTCACTGTGCGATTGTTGTCATCTGCCACAAAGATGTCCCAAAATTCAGGGAGGTAATTCTGAAAATTCTCAAATGTTCCTAGAGAAGGAAATATGCGAACTAAAGAAAGCAAAAAGAAAGTGATAATGAATTGCTAATCATCGATTGTTTTTTTTTTTGTCAAACCTTAATTGATGTTGGCAGTGTGTGTAATGTAATGAATAAAGAAAAACATTTTTTTTTTTTGCAGTGCTTAGTACGCAATATGCAATCATTGATCTGAATTTCTTTTTGCTTCATAACCTCAACATTGTTATATGATTTATGAAATTGAATGATAAGAAACAGTTACCTCAATGCATTTATATTCTTTTTTAAAATGGTGCAATTGTGACAGTCAGATAGATTAATCACAGTCGTCAGATGTTTCGAAAATTGCACTTCAGTTGCTCTTTTCCTGCTTTAATTATGTGCAAGAAAATAAAGTAGTGTGTAATCTTTATTGATTATTGTTTGTAAGGTGTAATTTAGAATATATATATATATATATATATATAATGTAGTACAGAATTATTATTCAGTTTTTCTGAACTGGATTTGAGTTCAGATTATTACATAATATATTGTATATTGTAGAACATCACTTCTAAAATGTTATATTCCATTCCGGTTAAACTTACTTTCTGCATCTTTTTATTTATGATGACTCATTCATTACTGTCCTTCCTTCATCATACTTTGTTGATACAATCGAATTTATTGCCATCATATCGTTCAAATATGTTTTAAGGTTGTTGGGTACATAGGTAGAAATATATAAATAAAATCAGTTAATTATTGTTTGTTTATAGGTGACAACTCTTTCAATTGCTTAAACTAAATTAAAAGCTTCACATACTTTATACTTATTGGAAAAAAAAGTTCCAAATAATTCTAAATGGAAATGATAAGTTAAAATCAATATTTGGAACAATAAAACCAGTTTTCATTTTGTTACTTCAGAGAATTAATTTTTCGAATTTAGGTTTTTGGCGTATTCCTGTTTGTTTTTTTGTTTTTTT